AACAAAAGTCTCCAGCCTCGTTACTCATCCGGCTCGATTCCCCACATTCTATAAAAATCATACTCTTTAGCGATCTGAATGGAAGAAAATACCACCCCACATAAACAGCCTACTAAACCAAACACAGCTATTGACACATCGAACAATATATGATACCAAGGCATAGTGGAATAGTGAAGCTTAATATGAAAAAGACACGGATATATAAGCACTAAAATGGTGCCGGTGAAACTGCCGACAAAGGCCATTAGTAAACCGAAATGAGGCACGAAAATTGCCACAAGAGTAGAGAGCAAAATAAACATGAACCTGAACACCAGTTTTGGCATGGAATTCCTGTTGCATCGGAGAGGCTCATCTTTGAGTTCAGCAAACAGAGGAATATTGAGCTGGTGTTCAAAAATGTCATACAGCGTGAACATGGGAACCACATAAAACAGAAGTGCTGTGACGATAACTGCGAGAGAAAGAGTGATGCGGAACGCACCATGTGGGACACTAAGTGTCATAATCTGCTCTGTGTGTTCCCTGAAACAGAAGAACACCAGGATTCCATAGTTGAATTTGATAATGGTAACCAGAGTATAGGTGAAATCCATGATGGCGTTAAACTCTCCTGGATACCGCATGGACTTTTCGATGATAGGTAGATAAGCCTGTGATGAATAGGTTACCACGATGATTCCCATGGCAATGGACATTTCTTTGAATTTCAGTGGAGCTAGTTCGTGAGTCCTCCATTGTTGAAAGTGAGCCAGAGCAAATACCAACACACAGGTCGAAGTGACCAGAGCCACGATAACAGTTAAGATACTGATCCAAGAGATGTGCTTCATTGTGCGGACGCCAGCACACGGCAACACAGCAATGGAGACCACCGCGATCCAAACGCTCTCTGACACGAAGCTATCTGGAAACGTGTGGTGCAGCACAGTCCCACACATGATAAGGAATAGAGTGCAGTGCGAGAACTGTTCAAAGAAGTTAGTAATGTGCACCATGACGCGCCCATATCGGGGCCAGAATGCTTCACCCAGGTCGGCGTAAGTGGCCTTTGAGAGGTTTTCATAAGCAGTGTCCTCCCGAAGACAGTAGATCAGAAGTTTGCCCGTATAATTACCGAGAGCAGCGATAATAATGATGAGAATGACTCCCCAGTAGCCGGTCAGACGTATAACATACGGCATAGCTAGAACCCCAGTGCCCATGTTGGCATTAAAGATATTGAAAAATGCTTCCAGAGAAGAAGTTTTGTTTTCTAACTCATTTCCGGAGCCTTCTTGGTTGGATTTACTTTCTTTCCCCAGAAGGGGTGAAGATGATCTCGACTCGCTCATAACGAATTACTTTGAGTCTGTTTCCTTTACACTCGAGTTGGCGCTTCTCATTAATTGTCTTCAATTTAAATCAATTCTGAATTTCGTTTAGCGTCTTTCTTCAGAAAGGTCAAGTGTTTTAACCGGCAGATTACATGTTATCTTGAAGACCCGTCCATTTCAAACATCGGGGAAAGCGCTCTGACTTGTAAATGAAATTTCTTCAATAGAAGCTTCAGGCTTTCGCGCAAACAATTTATGTGTTGGAGGTCTTAAACGTTATTAGCACACGAGCCAATTAACTGTTATTAAAACACGAGCCAATTAGCTTTGGCGCCTAACATCCAATCAAAAGCGACAAAACATCTTGAAAAATATCACAAATTTCCACCTGCTTGTACAGGGATCGGCTTTCCTGAACATTCTCGCGTGGGAAATCGTGAAGATACATTTATTTAAACAGTATTTTTAATCGTCTTTCTTCAACCAGACCTTCAGAGGAAACTTACAATTTTTTCTGGTCAAGTTCATGCACAATAAAAAGTAATAATACATTTTGTTTGAATTTACAACCACTCTTTCCACTAATTAATTATTTACTCGATCGTTCAGAGTAGAGTAAATTGGCTGCTTTTGGCGTTTTAGCTAATAATTTATGAACTTTCATTTCTGAAAGGAAGATCTAAAAAATTATCAATCCACCTACTAATAAATGACAACAACATTATTACACAAGAAAAAGACTTATTTATCACTCTTTTCTTAGAAAATACACCCTAACTAAGTAATTCAGCCGTGTGGGAATGTTTTTTTTTTCTATCGTGTAACCATATTTCCCTTTCTATGCATGAATTCAAACCTATAAGGAAAGTAAAAAGTGCTTTCATTTTTATCGATGATGAAAATTGAAGCAAAAATGTCAAATTGAAATTTAAGGGTCTGTGTAAATCAGGAAAGCCTGAAAATGCGATTACAAATAATAAGCTTGGTGTATGCTCTTGTGATACCGCTTCTCGTCTTTATTTACATTTTCAAAACCCAAGATTATCTTATCAAATTCTCTTTATTTCGATTGGGAAACGAAATATTAAAAATAATTTTTTTTTTAACATTAGAGTGGCTGTAGGTAATTGTATTATTTACAAGCGCGTTGGTACTTAACAGTGGGTTTTGCGAATAATCACTCTGCTCGCCCACACAATCTGTGACTGTCTTTGAAATATCTGTTTTAATCTACAGTTTCACCTCTATCTTTCATTGTCTGCAAATCAGCAAGAGTAAAAGCTTAAACTTCCTAGAGTGACCAGTACGCAATATTGATGAAGAAGATTTCTCAATTTGATAGAGTAGAAGGTGTTCTATACTCCAAAACTTCAGCTAAACATTATTAACCAGGCATCCTCATTTTCGGGTAGAAACATGTATTCTTGTCTTGAATCGAAAAATCAACTTTGAATTTTCAAGCTGATAGAGATGTATGATTAAAACAAAAGGAAAGTTATAAACATGCATGGTGTTAGTTCTATATGTTTGGAGTCTTTTATGCCAACTCAATGCAACTTGAGAGCATCCTATTTAATTGCTTTCCTTTTCTTTTCTTTTCATAAGTCATAAGATCAACAACATCATCTTATCCCGATACTGAGTAATTAGCTACCAACAAAGGCCGTTACAGAACGCTTCAGCAAAATGATTAAGGGCTGGATGAATTTGCCAAGACTGCCGCATGAGTATCTCGTGGCTCGATTTACATATTTGTAGTGTTTATTTCAGTGGCGGTACAAAAAATTTAAAAAAATCTGATATTTGAATTATTTGAATTTGATATGATTATTAAATTTCTTCATAGGCTTTGTTGATTCGGGTCCTTATTGACGTTAACTACATTCCAGATTTAACATTTTAAGTAACGGAAATATGTCCGAAAGAAAACAAAGTAGGTCAGTAGGGTTTGAAAGCCATGCAAGAGAACGCAAGAAAATTTATTGCCTGAAAGATTAAATTAACCATAGGGGTGGGTAAAGGTTTAAAATCTTATATCAAGTAAAACCAGTTTAGATTTGAGTTGAGTTAAAGATTTTGATAATCAAACCAGAACGTGTTCACATTCGAGTCTCAACTCCTCCAGGCAGAAAGTACGAGAAGACAGATTTGTTCGGTTGCGATACAGATGGACGCCGTCGAGCTGTAATCTGAAGCTCAGACCAAGCTTTGTTTTAAAGAAACTGTATAATCCGTTCCACCGATCGGATAAAAGTGAAATGCTCTGTTTTGTATACATCAGCTCATTCATCTCACTTCAGAAAATTTCCCTGGGAGTAGATGAGGAACGTCTCTGAATAACGAAGATCATACCTCAAGGTAACTCAATATAACTCAAGGAAACATGAAAAGAAAAATTTCATATTTTTCATATTAAATCTGATCAGGAGAGGCGAACAACAATCGATTTATTTTATCCATCCTCTCCCTTCCCTTGTGCAATTCTTACTTACAATTAAGTTACTAATCCTGGATCTCCATTGTGCTAAATTGAAAGACAGATTTCAAGCAGTTGCAAAGCAGGAAAGGAAGTGGCATGAAGGTTTTTAGAGAGGTCTTCCCTTTTTTAGGTTATCGGCAAAATTACATGGCTATTACAGAAGAAGTATTGATAAAAATACAGTAACACCATCATGAAATATGCAACGTTAAAAAAGAAAACAAATCGGAAGCAGATTAATGGAGTTCAATCAAATTTTCACAAAATTCACCTCTTAGATACCTTTAACATAATTAACGTGTCAGTAAAGTAGGCAATAATCTACATTTATGCCTTTTAAACAAAATTCAAGGTACACAAAGTAAAAAAAAATTGCTCTCAATGAATTTTATGGTAAATTTAATGGCCTTTTCTCAGCGCTGTTTCACAGTATTTTACTAAGAATAAAGAATCAAGTTTCGAAAATTAATGTAGCAATCATGGTAGTCATATTGGTGACACATTTACCGTTTAGGAAAACCAAAAAGAACACGAGCTAAAGAGTTTAAAAAATTTAACTCTAACAGACTTAAATAAACATAGTTCTAGGTGAGAATTATCAACATGTGACTGTTTAAAGAACTCTGGAAAATCTCGCCAACGACACCATAAGAATTTAACCTCGATGATGAGATTTGAGCGCAGGTGAGGCAGAGCTTAACTCTCTTGAGTTCTTTCTTTTAGTTTATCTAACCCACTACAGTAATGCCTTACGTATAGCTTTTTGATAATATGATGTACGCGAAAAAAGCTTCTTTTTAACCACAAATAATATGAAATTTTACAAAAGGGACAAAGACTGGTACATTAAACTTATTCTAAGAAAGCTTGATTTTCTGTCTTCTAGTTAAAAAGTTCTCGCACTTGTTGCTTGTTACAAAGCTGGGTTAAGATAACCCAGGGTTAGTGTGAAATCTGATTTTAGATATGAAAGCTTTTATAGAAAATTCAGTATTATTATTTTTGTCTAGGATATGATTATTAGATGCTCTAAAAAGAATAGAAAAAATTATCCCAACAAGGCTTTTGTACAAGGAAATAAAGAAACCCGGATTAAAACTTAGTCTTAGGTTTGCGCTTATCGGCCTTCGACCAACTGAATTTTTTTCTTTGTCCCACACTCGTGACGAGAAAAAGAAAGAACTTTCGCTTATTTGTTAACAAAAAGAGCAAAATAAGCGCGGGTTAGGGAACAGAAAAAAATCCTTTAAAACATATCCACGACGGTGATTGGCTACAAACTCAGTACATATCTTTAGTTGCATGCCACATTCTACCAAGTAACCGCTAGAATATTGGACATGACCGTCATAATCACCGGAGCAGCCAAGAAGTGCCCTGGAACAGATAAAGACAAACACACACTAGTTTCCCTGATATTCATACGATCTTAAATGATATGTGGGTTAAAAAAGTATGGTTGAGATAAACTAATAACCATTTCTACATTCTTTTCTTTTGTCGACAGGGAAAAAGAACTTTATATCTAGGGACTAAAAGTGAGTCAAATATGTCGCACAAAGTAATGTGTGCTGTTTGTATAGTTTTTGTCATTTGGTTAGGTATACTAATTTCTCTGATACATTTCCCACTCTCATGTTCGGCTCACTACATGTTACCACGTCTCAATTGTCTTTCGCCATAACATGGGATCTCAGTCAGTCACATGGTTAGTGACATAGGGCTTTGGTTTCAAACAAAAGTGAAACAAAATGATGAAAACAACTGACCGAGACTGTGCATGCAATCGCACACTGTGTAACACGATACATCTCGCTCCACGGGTCCATAATGTGAGCATCTATTGAGACCTATGCATCGCTCTGTTATGATCGTACAATTTCTTATCTGGCGAATCACTGGGCCCCCTGTGTCACAACACTTCTTCTGGCAATCATCGGTATTTTCTACTCTCCAAGAAGACCACCTTACTGCAGCTACAGAATCAAGCAAAGCAATTTTTTTCGGTTAAAATGTATTTGATGTAAGTTGTCGTTAACTTTTCCATCCAGGTACTTATCAGTCTGGTCATATTCAGGTTTGGGTCTTCATTTGAACGACGTAGGTTTCATTAAAAAGCGCTAATGAGCATGATAAATAAGGCTTCCTGTAGAACCATTTCATAAGTTTCTATTTGTCTAACGAAGTATCATTTATATAACTGTAAGTATTCATCAAACCAAGTTGTTATTTTTGCTAACGGTACCGTCATATTCTTACCGTAACCAATAGACACAGTGGCGGTCTGATTGACAGAGTGATCTACGGACTTCGCTATTGATACGGTAGTCATTCTATGTCCACCCTTAGAGAGAAGGGAGCTGCCTCCGGAATTACCCTGTTTGGTAGTAGTGCTGTTAACTACAGTTGGAGAGGTCGTGCCAATGGTTGAATTTGATGTTGCCGTGAGTGAGGGAGTAACTGTTACACTGCTTGAACCAAGAGATGAATGCATGAAGTAGAAAGCTAACGTGGCGGTGAGCAGAGCCTGTGGCAACAACATCTGCAATAACAGTTTTGTGTCACAACCATATTACTGGAGTAAACACCGCCCTGGTATATACACCGCACCCAATCAGAAGAATGTTGCATTTATTCGAAGTTTATAGTAAAATTGGATATCAAGTATCATATAACTCGGTTACCTCCACCTTCCGTCGAAATTTTTTTATCTAAAAACGAGACTTGAGAACTTAAAAGAAGTTTCTGAGTCACAAAATGATTTATCGTGGTAAACTGGAGAAATATGATTTTGAAATAAATGCCGCAACGTTATGAACTTCGCATCAGAAACGCAAAAATTGAATAATTGCCTCGGCGCTTGATCAAGTAAATACGATAGCTCATTTAAGAAACATGATTGGAAGGCTTAGTCGAAATAACGTTAAATCCTGTAATCAGGTTTCTAAAGATTAGGAGTAGGGAAAAGCATGAATGTAAACATACGGCCTCACTCTTTCATGGACCCGTGCGATAAGCAAGGATTTCCATCACTAACATTTGATGCTTTATTGCATTGATTTGCGTTGCAGTTTCCCTCAATCTTTCACTATCGACTATTTTTCACGGCCACAGAAGCTCAAAAGAGTTATTTTCATAATTTGTGATAGGAGCGGCCCGCCAATTATGTTTTAGAGAAAAAAAATATTATGAATACCTATTGCATTTAGATATATTTTATCGTAGTAGTATTCTCAGCTTTCGATATGACACAAGAACCACTTCTGTTTCAGCGGCATTTTGTCCACCGAATTACATATTTAAGAAAAGTGTAAAAGTGGTGTTCTTGGCTCTCTGACCATAGTACCAACTCTCTTCTGGCGGAAAATATTCTTTTGTTTTCCTAATGTCCTCTTCAACAAAACACCTGCCCAGTTTTTCTTACGACACATAAACACAAGGAGGTTGATTCACGTAACTGCTTGAAAAGGTAAAACACTTATTTATGAATATTATGAAGCCCTGAAAGAGCTTAAAGAACAGTATCGGTTTTATCTGGCAATGTTGCAAACTAAAATCTACAGAAACATGAGCAAAATATTATATTTTCAAGTTTCAGATATGTCTCCTATTCTAGCAATAACAAGCAGATCAAGTTTTACTCTAGTTTCACTGAATGGAAGTATGCCGCGGATAAGGTGGGAAAGTGACTTATTTTTCTCTTTCCGAAATCAGCCCCAGCATCATCTCTATCGTAGCACATAAAAAATTGAGTCTATTTATGCTATTTTTTTCCCATAGTGGAAGCAATTAATGCACTTACTCCATACACAAGAAATATGAGGAGCTTGTTTAATCAAGGAGGGGCGAAACATAGTCATTTTCTGTCCACAAGCACGAACATTCATAAAGTAGATTTAAAGGATTGTTGACGAATATCGCAATATTACAGCGAAGAGAAAAAAGTTTGGTTGCTTGTGGTAAATGCTGAGTCGCTGCAAAGATGTCGTTTTTCATTGAAAACTGCTTTTTTGTTTGACCTAAATTATGATGCGGTAAGTTTACAAGGCTGAATCGATCTTACAGGAAATGCGCAAATATTTAGAAGTGAAGAATCTGCGCATTGAAGATATTTATGTCAGCCGAATTAAGTCGTGCGAAGGAAATTTACGTAAAGTGTTCCTAAGTCAGCTTAACCTATCGCAACAGAAACGGGCTTTTGACAAACAACGGGTTAATGAATTGTTCTTGTACCTTTTGCTGATATTTCTGTAGCAAAACTATGCACATTTCTTTTTTCCGAGCAACGTTTCCCTAACTATCCTGACCTTGCATGTCGCTGATTAGGTTGAGTCGTTCCACTGACATATACTATATACACATATGTATCTGTATGGAAATATTTGCCAAATTATCCCGTTCCAATTTTGTCTCTGGGGAAAAAACCGTTGTCATGAAAACAAAGATTTTCCACATTGATAAAAGTATTCTCTTACCTTTGTGAAAATGTTAAAGCTGCAATTGGATCTTACAGCAGAAGGGCTCTAATTTGAAGGCGATAAAAATTTGAGTTTACCTTGCAGTATCCTTTTACAGTGTTTTAACTTGTTTCCATAGAACCAACAAAGGCAAAAAAAATTATTGTTGAACTTTGTATGTTATTAACCTACGTCGCCTCCTACTTATAATTCGAAATGCGCATGTTTAAAAGAACCAATTGGTTGTTAGCTTCGTTGTTGTGTGTACCCTCTACTTTCAAATAAAGTTATTAATCATTTATGGTAAAAAAATTCTTATTCGGCATTCTTTTTTTCGCAATGGAGTTGTAAAAAAATTTTACCAGATATTAGATATTTTCGGTTAAATTTTGTTGTCTGTAAATCATGCAAATTACTGTTGCAAACTGCTACTGACATCTTATTTTCGTCAATTTCACTTTCTTTCAAAGTTGTCGGTGTAAGTTTACATTTTCCTTCCATCACACCGGTGCACCTTTGAATAAATTCAGCCACCTAGGAAAAAAACTACTGAGCTTCAATTTGACGATCTTTTTTTCGTGTACAATTCCTGCATTACAAAAGTAACTCCTTCCCCTAAAAGTCCACTGTTTCGACCTGTTCAATCAATCCTATCACTAAGACATAGCTGAATATACATTTTCCTTGTTTGCCTTGTGGAAAAAAAACTTTTCACCTACTCTTTGCCGATAGACTCCGTGATAAGAAGCGCATGTCGGACCTTAGAAAGACATGATAAAAGGCTAACGATTTGCCTTTTCCAAATGGGAAATTAAAAAAGCGGAAGTGAAAGTACTGTAGTGCGGATTTTTAGATGGCACTTTCGGCTGTTATTAAGCTGCACACGGCCAGGTCGTGTACAATCGCAGTAGCCTCAAACACTGAAAAAAGTTTTAATTCTTTTTGCTTAACTGTGGTGATTGGCTTTTCCTTTTAAACCACCTTCTTGGGCTGGTGTAGTGTGGAATTTCAGTTTGAACGATTTGAATTAATGGTTTTACTTATGAAAATATGAAAGCGGATCTTTTCCAACCAATGAAATAGAAGCAGCTAATGGTTTTTAACAAATGTGAAGTGAGTTACGTTCTTGTTGACATAAAAATTGGCAAATTATTTTGTGTTAGAGGATCGCACCTTTTTGATCTACAGCTCTCATTCAAAATTTCTTGAACTAGTTGGGAAATACCTTTAAATTGTCCTACAATCGTGTTAAAAAATCGCTATTGCATTGTAAAATTAATGAGCGAGCTAACATGTATCTCTTAAGTTATCACGGGTACCTGTAATGTCATCTAATCACAAATTTTTGTATTTTAGATCAGCAGCAGGACATCGATGCGCCTGATATTTCGGAATTGAGAGAAAAATTGCGCTTAGTAGGGTCATAGAGAATCAGTAACTTTCATTGCAGTAAATGATTTGAACCTGTGAGTATGAGAAATGGTCAAGTTCGATCCCTCCCCCTTCCCTTCCTCCACACTCCGCTCTAGCGATAGAGGGCGAAATCATTATTCTACAGCGATTTAAAACTTTAAAACGAAATCTATCACGAGTATTCTCATTACAATCTAAATGCCTCATTACATAGACACCATCTGTCACATGCAGAGACCCACCACGTGCCAGGCGTCGGTATGCAAGACTGCGGTTAAAGAGCTTGCAACCGATCTGTTAGAACTGCTATACAACATACATGATAGCTATTTTGCTAGAACCGCATTTGATACCAAGGTAAGCTGTAAAACACGTCCCGTGTCCTTAGCTGAGGACTGTTTTGTGCGAACAGTAGGAAAGAAGCGAGGAAGCGAACAGAATGGAATATGAAAATAAAAAAACTCGGGGAATTTTTAAATGCGAAAGCGGTTATGATCTCTTATGAGGCAAAAAAAAGAGTTCCTAATGAGTCCTTGACTAGTTTTTCACGAAGCTACCCCAACAACTACAGTTTCTCTCAATAAGATATACTGTGCGTAAACATGTTAAAAACAGGATAGAACTTTTAATACTAAAATAGTTATCTAATACAATTCTTTACACTACACATGCACTATTCCAATCGTTTTAATTTCTCAGTTTTCATGGATTTGTGAATGACGCATAAATGTATTCGATTTTTTTAAGTTATTCACAAAAGGAACGCTTTCGCGTTTCATTAAGCCATTGTACAAACCAATTACAAGACCCTCTGAGGAGCTTGTTACATCCTTGCAAAAGAGACGAAACCACTACTCATTTATGACGCTGTGTTTTGGCGGGGAAGGGGGCTTGACATCGCTCGGAAGCGAGGTTTTAGAGCTGAAAAATGTCCTCCAAACGGTTGTCTGTCAACACTGTTCCAAAGCAATCCATTACTGCTGCTAGTATCTAATATTAATACAGGAATTGTTTTCCAGTTATATATTATCTTTTACTGAAATACTTTCAACTTTCTCGTGAGCTACAGGGTAAAGAAGTGCGACACTACTATTAGAAACCAGAGATAGCTTACTAGTGTTACTTAAATACGAGAAGTGCTACAATTTACCAATTGCTTGGGGTGACATTCAGTTCTTCCCATTTGTTGTATTCATGTACATAATTTTCTTTCCAATCATGCCAAGCATCAAACATCCCCCATCAAAGTTGGAAAAAGGTGATTCATAACTAATAATTAAAAAATATATTTTGCATCCTAGAGTGATCGTTCGTAACAGCATAAGATTCGAAATAGAAACTAATTGAATGAGCGAGTAGTTCAATCTCCGTCTGTCATCTGAAGGAACTGTGCATAGGCGTCTCGTGAACACTCTCCTTTGGAATTAAAAGCAAACTTATAATAACTGCCATCTGCACAAATAGCTACGGAGAAATCAACAAAAGAAACGGATGATCAAAACAAATTATCAACTGAAAAAAGTAACAATGTTACCAAACTTGTAAGTCTACTTGAACAAGCAAAATTCCTGCAGCTTCTCACGAGATTGCAACCTGTGACTATCGAAATGCCAGATGAATTTCCAATGCTGGCTGATGTTTTAGTGAATTTGTCCAAGGAGTTCATGACATTTAAAAACCATTCTACTGAGAAGCATCAAGTAACCCAAACCTACATCGTTAGTCATAAATTATTCCATACGTGGTAACTAAGTTATAAACTATTCCACACATGCAGAGCAATGAGGCTTACAATCCAAACAAGACTGCACAGTGTACATGTACAGTGACAGCCTATCCTGAGTATTTTAAATGTATCTGAAGTTGCGATGCATGTATGTCCCTTGCTTTCTATTAAAAAGAACAATGAACATACCTATGACAGTGTTTTTTTCACTTCCAAATGCACAAACACAGTGTGGGTCACCAGGAACTTGAAATCTTGAAAAGCTCCACTTAGAGCTGAAGTATTTTGGAAGAAAGTTGTGGGCTGTGGCAAGACTGACATAAAAAAAAGGAAATCATTTAGGAAAAAAATTATGTAATTCAGAACACAGGCAGTGCAGCACATATATCATGTATCCATGAACAGTGATTTCTTATTGCATGGCTTACAGATGTGATTTTAGCTCAAAAGAAAATAAAAAATATATACAACATCATAAATTCATCTTATAACAATTCCAAAGCCATTTCTCTATATAAGCCGCTGGCAAAATTGTTGAGTTCCAATACCATTATACCAGAGCTGTATACACTGTTCATGTAAATGTACATTTTGTAAAATACTAAGCAAAGTAACAGGTGGAGGGAGGATTAGTAACAGGTGGAGAATGTAGAAGATGTGCTGGCTTCCACATCAACATGTCAAGGCTCAACTCCTAGCCAGGGTCTCAGAATTCATAAGAAAGACAACTGCTCATGAGTATATGGTAAATACAATACTAGCACAGTGAACTGTAAGGGAACCTTACCAAGGGTTCACCTGTCATTTGGTAAACTAATGTATGTGTACCATTCCTCTCAGGAAAAATAGCATTAGCTCTCCTTCCTTCATGCAACAAACCCTGGATAATCTGCAGCAGCTGTGAAAGTCACTTCAATATTTCTACATCCCACTAAAAAACCGAATTGCCAGCCCAGATGGGAACACCTGTATACCAGGACAACTCTCCAATCCCAAGGGGGGGACCTTAGCTCAGACTGGATTTCCACTTGCATAATGAATTTTATGTATTTATCCTAAATCTATGTGCACTGTGAAGCACATGTACATGCTTAGAGCTAATCTAAAAAATTTACCTTGGAGGGAGAGGACCTTACCTTGACTGTTTATTTTTCTTTGGATCTTCAATGGCAAAGATGTGAACTGTACCATGATCACTTGATACACACAAAAGTTCTGAGTCATGGTTGAAGTTTATACTACAAATAAAACAGACTCTTTGTTATCTACTATTGTTGAAATCATCGAGAAAATGGCACACAAAATAATGCAAAATAATAAACCATAATCATTTCAATTTACTGCCTGAACTAGCCCTTTACACTATGACATAGTTATCCAAATTCTCCACACTTTTAGATTCATAAATTTCCTACATGGTACCAACAAGGAGGATTAGTAAATCAGTCAAAGCTTCTTAGGTTAGCAATCACTCCCTTTATCCTTGTGATCTCCATGAATCACTCAGCAGTATTACTCAAGGGAAAGAAAGAAATGAAAGCTGTCGATATCTTACAACACTACCATTACTTGAATGAAAGTGATCCCTGCACTAATCTGCACTACTTGAGCAGTAGTGAAAATAAGGCCTGAAAAAAATTCAGGCCTGTACGGGATTTGAACCCATGACCTTTGCAACACCAGTGCAGCACTCTACCAACTGAGCTAACAAACCAACTGGGAGCTGGTCATTATGTTAGTTCAATTAGCAATCATTCCCTTTATTCTAACCCTTTATTCCCTTTATTCTAACCCCATGCAGGCCTGAATTTTTTTCAGGTCTTATTTTCACTACTGCTCAAGTAGTGCACAATACTGCGAGGATCACTTTCATTCACGTCTTTATCCGCAGTTCAAATATATGACTTTCATATATTCTTAGCCGACCACCATTACTGTAAAACACAGAAAACCATGCACACCTGAAATATGTTAGTAATGATTTCTGAGCTATGGCAAATTTTGTTGGAGAACAGGTAACTCCAAACCTCTGGAGCCACACCTGATAACTGCTGCTGCTTACACTAATCTCTATTTGGCATCTTATCATTGATACACAGAGAGTATGAGTGAGATATCAAGTTGAACACAAGAAGAGAAATTCCATATCTACATAAACAAGCAACCATGTGATATTTTGTTTACTATAATAGCACCACAGACCTTAATTGACAGGAAAATTTGACAAAATGATTTGGGGGTTTAGAATGGTGAACATCATTCATCAACCTGACTGAGTGGTGCAAAAGTCAAGTGACATGCCAACAGCTGATTAGCTGAAGTCAACATTGAAGTCACCATATCATAATAAAGATTTCCATCAGGTTGTCATAATGTAAAGTGATTGTCACCACCAACAGTCCCTTTGAGGACTGCCCTCTCAAAGACAATCACATACATAAAAAGCATTATTTCTTCATTTTTACCAGTAAATATTAGCACTTCCTGATCCTCGTCTCAATTCGTGCAGTTGTACTGCATTACTTGTATCAAAAACTCTTATCAGAGTTCCCTGTAGAGAAGATTAAGTAAAAGAAAAAATTACTTATTAACCAATTATCCACTGACTAGCCTTTACCACTGTTTCTTGAAAATCCATTCCGAATCTCAGCATAATAAGCTGTTGTACCTTTATGCATTGACAGTAATCATCAAATTCTCTTTCCAAAATGGGACAGTTCCAAAAAATATACACATACAAGTGAAACCCCCTCATCCCTGCACTTCATACTAATCTTAAAATTACTGACCAGCAGTATTAAAAGCAGCTGATTTTGCTTAAGCAGCCAGTGGTTTACACCAGTGTCTACAATATGTAAAAGACAAGCTACGTCAAAGTGAATTTTAAACATTGTTCCCAAAAGAGAGTATATCAAGCTCCTTGCATAACTACTGTAGTTTATGAAACATTTTTGGGATACAGCTGTGTACGCAATTCAATCAATTTAGTTTGATGCTGATCAAAAAGAGGAATATATAGAGCAATATATGAAAACACAGTTGACACAGAGTAACAAAAAGTTGATCTTTTCAGCACAGTTAATATTACAGGAAAGATATAACACCTTCTCAGAAGCTGTTGCTAGTCTTGTTCCTTGTAAATTCATGGCAATGCAACTCAGTGCAGCCTCATGAGCAGCAATCTCTTGTGGAGCACGTTCTGTGTTGGCCAAGTCAACAATCTGAACATGTCCCATCTTACGTGCAGGAAATGCTAGTAAAGAGTTGTTACTGCTTGGACAAAGGACACACAAACCTACAAGGGAAGAAAAATCCTGAATTTTACTACAGTAAACCTCATCTAGAAGTACATGTAGTCCTTTGTAGCTAATCAATTATGTATCCAAAAGGAACTCTGACTTCTATTGAGTATTTGCACAAAACCTTGAGCAGCATTAAAAAGGAAAGTATAGAAACTTGGTTCACACATTGAAAAATTAAACTGGTTTGTAAATGACCCCCTTTCTTTCTCTATTGAACTCACTCAATACAACTCAATTCAAAGATAATCTGATAATGGAACACACTTCAAACAAGAGATCACTGCTAAGTAAAATCAAACTTTGTTTTGTAACTAAGGAGCAAGAAAGAATGAAAGGAGAAAAAGAATGACATTCTATCATCCTGAGGTACTGTAACAGGGATTGGCCAAATTTGGTATCACACATGTAAACAAACGGCAAAAGTTTGGACATTGAGTCAACCACCCACTACCTGTGTACAAACTTCAGCTTCAGCATTTTGTTTTAAATAATTTTCCAATGTTGCAAACCACTTCAACACTCAAAATTGACTAGTTTGTTTCATCATATGTTTGATTATTTATAAGGCAAGGTGTTATTTTGTAAGCCCCAAAGTAGATGCAAAGAATGTAACAGGAAGTGTTGTGGCATGGAATAATCAAACCAGTTCAGTGAACAGTGATGTATCTTATCAGGAATTTTGTCAAACTTTCACTTTTTGTTTAAATCAGAAGTCACCTGACAGTACACATAAAAACTAATACTGAAAAGGTGAATTTTCTCATTCAAGTGTGAAATTCATACCTTTGGGATTAATTGCTGTCTCAAACACATGAAGTTGTTGAGGATTCTGTGTAAATGTGAAGACTTTGATAAGCTCTGCCAGCACAACTACTATCCTGTGAAACATTACAAAGACAATTTTACAATACAAATCACACCAAAAAATTCCATGAACCCTGTGTTCAGATGACATAATCATTTCAGCATGACAAAAAATGGTAATAACAAGTGTTAAGAGAAGGTTTATCAAGAATTTCCGTTCCCCTAAATAATGTTCGTAAAGATAATTGAAAGATTTGGTTGAGGGTTGACTCTCTAGTGGCATCAACCCACAACCAAATATAACATTTTGTTCCACTAAATAATGTTTGTAAAGATTATTGGCAGGTTTGGGTAAGGGCTTGTTTCTCTGGTGGTATCAACCCAAAACCAAATCTAACATGAATATTTAGTGTGATCAAATATAAGCCAACTGATAAGTTCCTGTGTCATTGGTCAGATTACTAAGGTTGATAAATAGCTTTTATGAGCAGCAGCATTCAAAAACCAATAAATTCAATCTAGTGAAGCACATTGTATGTCATGTGGATAAAATTCTGTCAAAGCTCATTAGCAAGCTGGAACTTCTTTTAAACAAATCACTAACCTGTCTCTTCTAAGCTTCACTGCCTTGACATCACTAGAGAAATTCAACTCTATGACACACTTCTTTTTCAAGTCATCCCAAACCATCACTATTAAGTTAAATAAAAACAATAAGTAACTCTTTGTATGTTGCATACAAGCATATACATGTATATGCTTAGGGGAAAAGGACATTATTCCATTCATATGTCAGTGTCATAACAAGACAATGCCATGACTGTGCTGTGAGTTACTGTAAATGAAGAAATTGGTACATCTACATTATACAAATTTAAATGAATACTTAATCACATGGAAAATACATGTACATGAATCATTGTCACAAGAATGTAATTTTGCCCCTTATATGAAATCAAAGTAACCAATTAAGGGATTTTTTTTTTCAGATAATTTAACCAGAGGATTAGAGCAATAAGAATTATAATGTCAATAAAATCTTTCACCTTTGTTCTTTGGATACTTTGGATTTTGTCCGCCTCCAACAAGTGCCAGATAATTACATCGAAAAAGCATTTCCACATAGTTGATACCACCATCTGGGAAATCTGAAGTTGATCAATCATAGCACAGTTTATTCAGTAATGGTTCTGCCTGTGCATTATTAGAATGTAATTGATAGTAAAATTTTAAGCAATTTACCCACTAAACGCTCATCCTCTTAAAATTCTGATTCATTGAGTATTTATAATTTCTTAATACATGACTAACAGAGGCTGAACCAGTATTCTTCATATAGTAATGACGTCTATCAGGATGGGATTAAGCTTTTTTTTTTTTTTGTCTTTTGGCATGACACAAGAATCACACCATGACTATAGAGAATCAGGCCCTAAGATTGATCAATCAGAGTGAGCCATAGATTGAAATCATACAAATATATTAAAATGATAAATCAATAAGGTTTCTGTTTCTGGGCTGAAATATGTTTTAGACCTGACTCAGAGTTGTTCCAGCCCAAACCACTAGGCAAGGGTTTAAATGACCAAGAAGGGCCCAAAACATATTTACATGTATAGCCAAGAAAATAAACTGTGTTAATATCACTACAACTCTGGAGGGCATTAAGAAAATTAAAACTGGAAAAAAAAACAGTCTGACAAATCATGACAGCATGCAAGCACCAAACTCTCTATTTTAACCTGCAAAATGCACCACAAAGCCCAGCAAAGTGATAGTGATATATACTACAGCACATAAATAATAATGATAGTGATAATAATTTATAGCACCAAAAAAACTAAATGCAATACTGCTGGCATTTTGTGCTGTATTTACATTACTCCTGGAGACCATTGAGAATTCACAGCTCCCACCTGAGGTCAGATTAGTCAGGTTGTATCAAGGTACCTCACAACATTTTTGTTCCCTCACCCTAACCTATTTTTGGCAAACAATTAGTCAGCCAGCATAGTCTTCCTCTGATTGGCAGTCTATTGATACCCCAGTGGATACTACTCACAGTCAAAGTGACCCACTGCACTCAGATGCATTTCTTAGCTTCACCAGTCACTCCCACGAATGACCAGAAGGAAATTTATAATAATAATACATTTTCAAGTGACAATAAGAAACGAAAATGTTAATTTGGGGAGGTTGTTTTTTAATTTTACACAAAATTCTTTAATCTTGTACTATAAGTAATGTATTAAGTCATTGCCCGTTGTAGTACAGTGCAGAGAACTAATATCCTGATCATAGGTGAAGGAGTCAATGAGTATGATTTGAAACCGATTACAAAGCAATAATTTTGTATTTGTCAGTCTTCTCCTATAAAACTTTACGAAGAAAATCAGAAAGGCTACTACTGCAAACCAGTGAACATTATTTTAAAGATTCTTTGATATAATTTCGGGAGCTTACAAGTCGGGTTTGACCTCTAACGTGCATATTATGTGGATGAAACTGAAACCATGTCATTCCCACCAAAATTAATGCCACAGGTATGTCATAGACGCTTAGATGTTTACGTTACCTTGACGCTCTTTTTCTTTCAGCGGATCGCAGTTGTATATCCTAAAGCCGTTCTCCATACCACAAGAAAAGCAACCTTTAAAAGGAAGTAAAGATTGAGCTCAGTCTGAGCTGTTTCCGATCCGTCACTCGATAGTATGAATACAAACCTTGGTCTTGATTGAAGCCTGCATACAGCAGCCCATTGCCATATGAATTTGTTTGACTGATATTCATTGTCAAAGATAACAATAACCCATTGAATATTGCATACTTTTAACTACTAAGAAGGTTACACTGCACAATTTGTACCGCCATTTTGAATTAAATAGACCATGTGATATCCTTGCTATGGTTTACTGAATGTAGCCAATCAAAATTCATGAAAGAATCAAACTTCATTTATCTGCCTTTCTGACTGGCTGCGTTGGCACCCCAGAGTTCATGTCGAGCGACGATAACAAAGATGGCGGCTGAAATACTGTAGTCAACTTACTTTTCCATAATATTTTGGAGTGACTATGAATCCCGGGAGCAGAAAAATATTCCGAGCTAAACCACCAGACAAGGGTAGCTTTCCTTTGGATCACGACGGTATGGAAAAGTTTCCGACGTATCAAATGTTGTTTCAAACGAAACTTCTTATTAACAAGAATCATTCAGTTTTTCATCAACAAGCTTGAGTTTATGAATGATAATTAACAATTCGCCGAACGCGAACAATTGTTTTAGTATGGTGGCTCAGTTGCTTTCAAATTCTGTTATTGATTTGTTTTGCTGTTGACACTAGAGGAACAATTTTGACTGGCTGCGTCCTCTATCGCATTTATCACTTCCTCTGTAACATTGACAAAATACGAGTTTCTCATTGGCTGGGAAAAATGCAATTGAGAGAAAAAATTGGTTTGCCAGATTGGTAAATCAATCAATCATAATTTATTTGTCTCTTATAAACCCTTTGCTACCTTATGTATGTAAAGCATGGAATTGATCTACTTAAAAATTAGTGGTTGTTCATCAAATGGATCAAGTCCAAGTTTTCCTTAGTCCATTGTAGCCCATATTTTAATATGGCTGAATCTGGTCTGTGCCTCATGCACTAGATTAATTACATGTAATGTTGAGCTCAGGAAGTAAGAAGACTCTCATTCAGCATGTGTATATGTGCAAATGTCTCACTTTATTGTGAAACAGGTGAATGTAAAGAGTACATGAAGAGATACATGAAGTGCTTGAGGGAGAACAATAATGGGAACCACTTGTGTAGAACAGAGTCCAAGGATTATCTCCAATGTAGAATGGACAGGTACATTTGTTTTCCCATATTCATTCCAGTGAAAGATCTTTTCCTAAATAGTTTTTGAAAAGGAGAACCAAAAAACGAAATGATCCTCACAGATGAATTGCAATAGAAGAAATTTCAGGAACATTTAGAAGGCTCAAAAAATTCAGGCTTTAATGGGAATCCAAGCCATACCTCCCAGATACCACAGGGGATTCCTAATAACACAGTTAGTATTGGCTGAAACCATTCATTGTATCCAGGCTTCCCTTCACAATATGTGATTGCTACTTGTACATGCAGCTGTGTGAAAATGATTCTGTTGCTGTTATTCTTCTTGGTTAGCTCTGATTTGCTCTTCATTTTCATAGTATAGCCAGTTTTACTGCAAGGTAGTATTAGATATTTAGATCCACTCAGAGAAGCCTTTTGGAAAAACTAGTTCAATATTGTTCTTTGACAGCTTCAAGCACGAGATGTCTGTGTTTGCTTTGTTGCCCCTCCTGTTCCTCTCCCTATCAATTGCTTGCTGCAAAGAGCTTGCTAAGCAGGCTAATCTTTTACAAATGGCCTATTTTGCATAGTTGGTTTTGTGTTTGTACGTGGTAACAAAGTAATATTTTTTTAAATTGACAGACAACTCATGGCAAAGGAGGATTTTGAGAAACTTGGTTTTCATCAGTCTATACAATCACAAGATCACAACATTGATCAGATTGATCATGACAACATACAAAATAGCACAAAGTCCACAAGCTGATAGTAGTTCAAGGACAATATAAAAGTTGATTAACATATTAAAAATACACAACAGTTTGGTGGAACTGGGTTTTTCATTGGTTAATCATCATCAAAAGAACTTTCTCAACAGCCAGGGGGAGTCAGCCCTTGGCAAGGAACACAGGCCTAAGGGGAGGACTGACTCGCTCCAATGACTTTGATGATCACACTACTGAAGATGTTAAGCAGTCAGTCACTTTCACCACCAACAGTCATTTTCAGGACCACTCCTCATCCAGACAATTAGACCACACCCTCTATCTGATAAACAATATAATAGAAGTGAACATTTAATATACAATAACATAGTAGGACTCTAGTAAAAGCTGTAGAATAGTAGAATGAGAATGTTTTCACCTACAAGAATAAAAAGGCAACAAGGACTATTTTGTATTTACTATGCTGGAGCATTTCTGATGTGGTGCAAAAAATAAACTAAGAATCGTGAAAATTGCACAAGCCTGTAGGGAAAGTGCAATTTGTGGGCTTTGAAAAAATTTACAAGAGCTTTTTTATTCCAAATTGCATGGAAAAAATTATGTGATTATGTATCAAGTGCAAAAATAATTTTTCAAACCCTGCCTGTGACATTGTGCATTCAGTCAAAACAACTGCATATGATCAAAACAATAACATAAAATGATTTTTTCACATCTTTAAGGAACAAAAAACAACATAAAATGATTTTTTCACATCTTTAAGGCACAAAAAATTCAAAGTCCAGCTAAACAGTTCAAGGAATTGTTCAGTTTGGTTTGTTACTTCTCTGCACCAAATTAACCCTCTTTTGCTTTGAATTACCTGAAAACTGCATTTATCTTAACCAGTCAGAACTGAGTAATTTTTTTCATGTATCTCATTAAAAATGTTATTCAATTGATGTATTTAATCCTAAAGCTTGACTTACATGTCTGATTATGTTAACGGATTCCTTACATACTGTATTTCCTCAAATAAGCACCCCTCTCTCTCAAGTTAGTAGGGATACTGTTGGAAAAAACCTGTTTCAATGACCAATTTATTTATAATTTTTTTACCTTCAACTACAATGTAACCAGTCTAAGAGAATAGTTTATTTTCTCCTTGCAGTTAATTCTATCTCCACGTGCTTACAGAGTTCCTTTGATTGCATTATCTATTCTTTTGTTTTTTTTGTGTTATTTTGCGCTCTGAGTAAATGCAGTTAACTTTCCAAGCACAACTAGACCATTCTCTATCCTTTGGTGACCAGTAATTTCTACAGTAATAAAGTTAATGAGATGCGTTTGAAGAAAACAGTTGATAATGAGTTACAGCTCGATCGAAATGTGCCCAGCAAGCTCAAAGCTGTCAGTGCCATGCATAAGACTCACTTTTTAAATTCCAATTGCATTGTCCGGTTATACTTCTTTGCTTACTCCATGTCGCTTTTTTAAGCAAATATGTATTTCCCTTGTGTAAACAGACGAAAGGTATTAAAAATGTTGAATCAACGTCTTCGTGGATAATGTTTTAGTTTCTGTTTTTCTATTTACGATTTAACCAGAGTAAAGTTGCAGTTCGTTTAAAGGAAAACTCGATAAAATTTTAATTAAGCGCCTAGATGCTTATTCAAGGAAATACGATAGACTCCAAACAAAATAGACCATGCATTTCGATAGAGTGCCGTAAAACCGGAAGTAGAGTCACAGCGATCCATTAGAGTGAATGAGAAGGTCCCAAGGAATCACTATATTCAGATTAGAAACAAGCCAACTGACTGAAGCACAGGAAATCGCGAATGACCAAGTTACCATTGTTGTCAGTTTGGCAGCATCTGATTAGTTGAGAGGGTGGTCCAAGTTTTCTAAACTTATCACGAAGCGAAGTAAAGCATATAATTAAGTAAGTGAGTAAGTAAAACCTTTATTTAAGTGTCAATGTCTTTAGCCTAGATGGACTAATTGGGAACACCAATAAAATAGTAATACTAATTAACATATGATACTTATATTATGTGGTATTATATTATACTTATATATATGGTACTAATTAACATATGGTACTTATTCTAGTGGTTACAAAGATTACAGCAATTGCTGTCGTTGGTTAAAATGTCCGTAAGATCCAATTTTTTCTTATCTTTTTAATAAAAACGGGTAAACTGGGGGAATTCCTCTGATTTACGGTAAGTTTTGACCATAAGAAAGACCCAAGATATCTAAAAGAGTGTTCGCCGTATCGTGTAGTTCTAAAACGTGGTAATACGAAGTCACCATTAAGCAGCGAGTGTGTAGAACTATTGCAGACAAATATATCGGAAACGCAATAAGGTACGAGACCATGTTTAACTTTGTACATAGGTGTAGTGATATCTTGAAGCCGTCTGTTATATAAAGAAGGTATATCAGCACGTCGTAAAAGTTCTTCATATGGGTCAGAGTGGGATTTATATATCACCCTTAGGGCTCTTTCTTGTATTCCTTCTAGCTTCCTTTTGTGGGATGACTTGCAAAAATGCCAAGTTAAATGGCAGTAAGTTAAATAGGGAAGTATAACAGATTTATACAGTAGTGGCTTAACCTTGCAGGGTATTAAGTTTTGAAGACAAGAGAGTACTCCGACTTTCTGGCTTGCCTTAGTACATAATTTGCTAATATGCTCAGTAAAATTGAGATTATCATCTATGTGAACTCCTAATAATTTGATTAGTTCCGTGTTCGCAATGTCCAGATCGTTTATATTCAGCATCTTGTCTCTCTTGTCCTTATCGAGTTTCCACGGATTAATGTTTAGAGACTGAAACTTGTCTGGATATAAAAACAAAACCATCATAAACCCCCCTTGGTCTCGTCGTGCAACATTCTCTCCCCCACCTAATTTAAATTTACAGACTATCCGCTGGTGATCGGCCGAAAACTTGGTTACCTGACAAGAAACGAGCTGTGACTAGAGAAGAAGTCTTCGCGCGGCTAGATCGAAAAACTATCAACCGCAACCTTATTAACTACAATTGGGAAAGGAATGTGCATCTGGTTTAAGAAGCTGTCGGTCGGGAAAAGAACGTTGCGCGACGAGACCAAACGACGGCTCCGAAGGAGAGTACCACAAGGACAAATTCTAAGCACTCTCCTTACCCTGTGAATAAGGAAATTATTACATCTTGGGTGACGTTGATAGAGTCTTGATGAATAATTGAAAAATATAAGTACCACTCTCGGTTACGAGCACTGGTTATTATTGAGTGATGAGTTGTACTTTGTCAGGCTCTTGTTTTATTATCAAAGAGCCATCTCTTAGGAGCCTGCCAGCACCAATCTAAGAAACGAATGGGTCGACAATCTCTTATCTTTTTCCACCATCCTGCGCACTGGATCTTGTACTTGATTTCGCCCAGGACATCCAGCCAGAAGTCGAACCAGATCAGCCGCATGAAGAGGATGAGCAGTAAATGTATTGGAGAGAAAGTCCCAGACATCTGGTACCGCAGGTGCTGTAACGCCTTTTCTCGGTATTCTGGCTGATTTAAGCGAAATGAACAGCTATCGTATGGAGCGCATATCGCCGTTATTGCTTGACGCGGATTTCTTTTGAACATTGTCCAGAAATCAGGGAATATTCCGCATAACCTAGCGATGTCATCTCCGTAAGTGTAGGCTTCCACCAAGGTAGAAAGTCTACGGGAGGAATCTTTAAAGTAGTCGTCCCAAAATAACTTGTCTTTCACAGCTATTCTCTGCCTTTCATCTCGGGAAGGAAGCTCACACAGTCCCGAGAAAACTTTCGCGCTAAAAAACGATTGAATCTCAGCCAAAGTGATCAATGATCCGAGCACTGGCCGAACATATCCGATGAAAGCCAATGTCGGGTCCTCGACGTTGAACAGATACTTGTAGTTGTGGGTGAGAGGAACCGTCTTTATTTCCGCGGGGAGCATGGGAAATTCTGCCTTATAACCTGTGCACTGAATGATAATATCAACCTCTTCTTCTGTGCCGTCACAGAAATGTACTTCGTTACCCTTCACGCTCTCAATTGCGCCTTTTGGAATACAACGGTTGTAGTCAACCATATCAAGCACATGACCATTTTTGTTGACGAAACACTGAAAAAATTTGGTGTCATTTTTCCACTCGGATATACCATGGCCTTGATAGGCGAGTAGTGAACCGTTTGACGTCCACTTACATACCCACGCCAGCCCTGCAAGGGAAGGAGAACTAACATTATTGGGAGCCAAATAGTGGGACGAACCGACTAAAAAACGATCACCTGAAACATCTCCGATAATTTTGAGGAGTTAAGATAACATTACGTTGTGTTTTTCAATGGTCACTAGAGCGACAGGGAGGATACCCCTCCAGAAAATAGGGACAAGGAAAGAGGAGAAAGCGAGAAAAAGAAAGGTGAATGAAGATCAAACAAAATGCAAGAAGTAAATCTGTTAACACTGATATATAATCAAATAACAAATTCACATTAATCCTACGTTATTATAGTCGTGCTTTCAGCAAAATGACCCATGAAAAGAAATAAATGCACAAACTTTGATCTCTGTAAACTCAAGAAAGAAAATCTAAACTCAACAAGATGACATATTAGTTACTGGGATTACCTGGTTTTCCCTTTGTGAAAGGAGCGACGAATTTCATTGCACGAGATGAAGCCTTGTCCAGGACTTGGGGCTGTCGGTTCGGCAGAATCTTTGCAAACTTACGGAAGAAATGCATTCCACGTGGTATACTCCAAATAAGGCGATCTACGTTGTCACACCATTCTTCAACCACGTCACTGGCAGTCTCGCCTCCACCAATTACCATCACTCGTTTGCCTTTATGCTCAGGGACAAATGACTTGAGCTCAGAGCTGTGGTAGATTTTGCCAGCGAAATCTTTAAGGAGAGTCTGTTCCAGAACTCGATTAGGCTTCTGTACACAGCCTGTGCAAATTATCAAGAATTTGCTGGTGAACACGCTGCCGTTCTCGCATTCAACTCGCCACAGGTTGTCTCTCTTCTCTACTGACTTCACTCCGTGATCCAGTCGAATGTGAGGCCACAACTTAAACTCGTCACAGTAGGATTTCAAGTAGGCGAAGATGTCTGCGTGCTTGGGAAAGCATCCAATCTCCTCCGGCATTGGAAAATCTGACATTTCTGTCACGGATGATGATGAAGTCGTTCTTGTAGTCTGCATGACTGTGACAATGTTAGGGTCCTCTGAGAAACACCACAACCCACCTACCTCTGAACGTTTCTCTAACGTGGCAACAGTCAGTCCAAACTCCAGCATGTACTTACACGCCATTAACCCTGACCAACCAGCCCCAATGACGGTCACATCGTGAAAAATTGACTCAGATTCAGACATAATGATGATTTTGCTCTGCTAAAGTAAAGGGAAAATTTCTAAGTGACTACTTCGGTTTGGATTGGCAAACTCTTAGAGTGTCCTGTTACAATACAGGCTGAGTGGGAGGACCAGACAGGAAATATTAGGCGCGAGGTCTTTACTCAAAGAGCGAGCGCAACGATGTTCTTGCGTAATGACCGAGGGCCAAACATTTTCCCGTTGGTTCCTCCCTATCAGTCGATAAGTATTTCTACATACGGCCACTTACTCATAAAAATATTGAAATTACTTTGAACCTGATTAGGGTGCGATTACTCATTTAAGCCTAACGCGCGATGGGCAACTATAAAAAAGGTTCCATGAGAGAAAAACTTCATTCTTTTTTTTTTTCAAAAACTAGACGCTCACAACTAATCGAAATCACAACTTGTTTTCTCGATTCGAAGGCTGAGGAGAGGAAATATGTTTCCGATGTCTTAAGGGCGAATGGCTATGCAAAAACTTTTCTCCGCAACTGCTAAAAACCAGTTATAACGAGTAGCACTCCTGATGAAAGGGAACCAGCGACTGGTTTTGCTGTTATTCCTTACATTCGGGGTGTTACGGAAGCCATCAAGAGAATTTTGAATAGCCACAACGTTAAAGTTGCTCAAAAACCTTTTCAGACTTTAGGGCATATTTCTGCCAAACCTAAGGATCCTGTCTCGAAAGAACAACGAACCGACGCCATTTATTCTATTCCTTGCAATGACTGTGAGAACGAATGCATCGGACAGACCAAACGTCAGTTTGGTACACGTTTGAAAGAGCATCAAAGAGTGGTTTTCTCTTGCAAAAAAGAAAATTCAGCTTCATCGGAGCACACATGCCTAACTAACCATACAATTGGATGGGACAAGTCTAAAATTATCACCACTAATCGGCGTTACCACTAGCGCCTTTGTTTGGAAGCTTGGCATATTAACTCCGCCCACGCTCCTTTAAATCGTGACGATGACGGCTTACTTCCTGACGTCTATTTACACCTCGTCGCAAAAAAGGCAGCTAATTAGTGATCGTATAAAGGACCTCTTGTTGCGTATGTAAACTCGCATTTAGCTGACGGTGTCTGTCAAAAATTTGTGAGGTAATTTGTATGAATACCGGTAAGGTAATAGGCATCATAAAACCAAAATTTGTTGAGACGAGCAAGCTATGGTGCAGGTCATTCAGAGAAGCCGGAATTTCAAATATTCTTCCTTATACTGAATACACATGATAGGTGATGAGGTCTAAAAACTTCATCACAGATGTTACAATGGACTGGATAAAATGAGACCACGGTTCTCCTCCAGGCCTGCGTTTGCATTTGAACGTACCAATACCAACGTTGTTTCCGAGGGCGACAGTAGAGAAGCGATGAGAACCGAAACATCACATTACACAGGGCTCAGTATAAAGATGTCGTAAGACAAATACGTTCATTAAAATTGCTTCAGTTTAGTTTCCTACCTTCAAATTTAACGGATTAATTGGGTAAGCGCGTGGTCGCCAAAATTTTGCATTTTCTCTTGCAGGAAAATAAACAGAATTAATATGGATGTTTTCCATGTCTCGTACTAGCTAAACATCTTCTAAACAGAAGTCCACAGCTCTCCTATGAGATGGTGCATCACTTTAGCAGTTTATGGCTCAATCAATTTTGCGGTGCATGCTAACTTGTCCAAGTTGAACTTTCCGTTTGCAATTTTTTCTTAAATTTCAGAATTGCAGAAGCACTCAACTGTGACTTAAAAACATTCTTGGTTTGAAAAGGTCAAGACCGAAAAAAGATATACAGACAACGATCGGCCATTTTACTCCTCGAATGCCTAACTTCCTCGATCACTGAATAGCTTACACCGTCGTACACAGTGACGACACATGTTATATGTGTGCCCGGTGAAAAAACAAACTTACTATAGAGACTGTGAAGCAAACCTCCTGCTAGTAATGTGATCTTGCTTGATTTAGCATTCAAAACGATCTGTCTGCAACGTGAAATAGTTTCCTTGTGACCACGACTTTAGCAACTAACACACTCAACTCACTTTGCATAATGTTGACAACTTGCAACCCTACTGACGATGAAGAAAATTTGCTTCCAGACCTATGCCCGTGAGTATCATGACCAATTCAGACTTTTCGCTGTAGACTCCCTCAGTAACCTAGCCCGGTTAACAGCGAGTGCATCATTAGTCATATATGCAAACTAACTTACTGTTCGAACCTCTTGACGGTATTTAGCACCCGGGTCTTTGTATGGTGAGCGTACGCTCACCAAAACTTCTAATTCAGCCATGATTCAAAACTAGATGCAATCTATGGCCTCAATTAATGTTATGGGCCGTTTTTATTTTTTGAGCGGGTGTACAGCTTCAGGCTCATTCTTGAATTGCCGTACTATTCTTTTTTAATATTTCACCGTATCTTAAAAATGCGATTTTACATTTCCAACGCGTATCAAAGTGATGTTTAGGTTAGATAATTGAGCTCCAGCCAAGAACTGCTTCCCCTTTAAAAGAACCCCAACCTCTATTCCTGGTATCATAAGGGATATCATTCACCTAATGCTAGGGAGAAAAACAATGCGTAAATTCGTATTCTAGGAGCCTAGAACCTTTTACGACCCCATAAGCCCTCAGAGTCGACCCTTCTTCATATTTGTTTACTTTTAAACACAAGTTTTTGTTTTTTTTGTTTGTTTTTTTTTTTTGCGTGTGCGTGTGTGTGTGTGTGTGTGCAAAATTGTTGTCAAACCTTCTTGATAATGACCATTCAGAGAAGAGCTACAACAATCCGTTTCTTTAAATACATTTTCACCCATTTTGAAACCATAGTTGGAAAGTTAGCAAGCGTGTTACGTCAACGCAAAAAGAATGTGTTGGATCTTGAAATTTTCCTACCCACTTCTCGCGCTTATTCTTTACCCATTCCCAATATTGAACATATGTTTAAGAGTGACAAAATCATTGCAGGCCTTGCTGTTTGCGTTACAATGCAAATATCAAATGCTGATACCTGCAAATAGTAAAATAAATCATTACACCTGACAAAGTAATACTGGCATGCGTTATTACCTATCCGACAAAACTTGGCAAGTTCCGTCAGCTTATACAGATTACCCCTAATACCAAAACAAAACATATTCCATAATTCATACTGAAACATAAGACCCGGAAGGTAGCCATAAACATGAAATATAGCTTTGGCTCGTCTCTACAGAATCGATTACATTGTATGCAGCATTACTTTGTGATCTACACTTACTGTTGATCGATTGATCTGAATATAATTATTTAATTTGAGATTAGATGATAGGCTCGATGATAGTGCTTTCTGTTGCATAACTCGTGACTAATAGCTTTAGTTCACTCGAGTTACTTTTTCTCTGCCGATCTATTCGCCTTTTTTCAAAGATTCAATCTATTTGAGATTAATTAAACTGTTAAATTAAGCCCTTATTTTATCAAATTTCAATAATTATGAAATGTTATCGAGGAAGAGAGTTGTTCATGCTGATGTGATTTACGTTGTGTCTATATTATTGTCCTTAGAATTTTGGTTCTACAGAAAAAGTGATAGGGTTATGAACAGATCTTGATCTTAAATATAGTTAGAACTGCCTTACCTTGCAAATAATTTTTGGAAGAAATATCTTTGTGTGAAGATGGACTTTGACGAAGTTTGACGTCAGTGTTGGTCACAAATGACTTTCGGCCAGCTTTGTGTGTTCTTTAAAGCTCTTTCCATGATCTGCGTTTCGACATGTTCCTTCCACTCATCTTGCGGTATGCTATTCAATAGTTTCTTCCTTCCTGATCGTGCCTGCCTTGGTTTTTTCCTTCTTTTCTAGTAAGCGCTCTTTCCATGTGGAATCACATGCTCCGCTTTTTGTTCGAAAAATCTGCTCAGTTAAGGGACTGAAATAATCAAATAAATTGATCCTTTGTTTGATAAATCAAGTCAGCTGTTCAACAAAGGTCATCTCTCTGAGGGTCTCATGAATCTTAACTATCACTCATCACCCTGCTTCTTCGCTTTCGGCGTGTACGTCATAAGTGTGTGCCGGCGGTCAGCCGTTTCAGCTGAATCGACAAGACAAACATATAATCCTGAGAAGAAAGTAACGAAATGAATTAAAACGAAATAATGAACTGAGAACTGAGACAATTTCAAAAATTTTAATAATCATAGTAACATTTAGGTAGTGCCCACCAGATAATGACGTTTGTCAATTTCAGCACAGGCGGCCCAAGCTCCAGCTGTGAGATGATCATCTTACGCAATAACGGTCATGGCGGAATTTTAAGAGTTTGTATGGGAATATTTACGAGCGCTCTAAGGAATAAAAAAATACGTCAAATTCTCAAAAAAAATACCTCACCTCGCTTCCACAGCGTAGTGCTTGTTATCTGACCGCTTACTTTGATGAAAAGAGCCCATTTGAGCGAGTTGTTCATTTCGAGGTTTTCAACGTACATAAGAAAAGCCCTAGGCTGAACACTCCATTTCCGAACGCCTGATCCGAGAAGCGAAAAATCCAAGCTCAAAATGACCGGGCGGCCACAAATCCAACGCAGAATCCAAGCACACATACTGTAGTTTCATTTCAATTCACTACAAACTCAATCTTCCCCGTGCAACCGACGCTAAGCCGCAGTTTGCTTCAAACATTTCCAGTTTAGAGGTTTCTAACAGCCCGCGACCACATCAACCTTGACACACGACCGTTGAAACCCTACCTCCTTTTCAAACTGAGCCTCGCCGGGGACCACACCGTCCGTTATTATCAATAAATTGTTTTAGAACCACGGGTTCCCTCAGGTCGAAATCGATCAAGAGGCTATTGTTTCGATCGGCCAATCGGATTCGCCTTCGGAAATGTTTACAAATGTGTGATTATTTTCGTAGTCAGAGGAAAACCTGGCAAGGATTTATACCAGTATTCAATTTAGTTCTATCTGGACATACCTATTTTAATTCTGCCAACAAGACAACTGTTATTTCGCTTCGTCCGCACGAGAATGTGAGTCACAATAGAACAAGTCGCTCAGCCATGTAAGTATTTACTTTATTCTTAGTTGCCGGCTACGCTAAATTTCGCACTTCGTGTATGTGTTTCTTGCCAAGTGCCCTTGTAGATACTTATTTCTTTTACTTTAGGATAAAACAATAGCCTCTCGATCGATTTCGACCGGAGGGGACCCGTGGTTCTAAAACAATTTATTGATAATAACGGACGGTGTGGTCCCCGGCGAGGCTCAGTTTGAAAAGGAGGTAGGGTTTCAACGGTCGTGTGTCAAGGTTGATGTGGTCGCGGGCTGTTAGAAACCTCTAAACTGGAAATTTTTGAAGCAAACCGCGGCTTAGCGTCGGTTGCACGGGGAAGATTGATTTTGTAGTGAATTGAAATGAAACTACATTATGTGTGCTTGGATTCTGTGTTGGATTTGTGGCCGCCCTATCATTTTGAGCTTGGATTTTTCGCTTCTCGGATCAGGCGTTCGGAAATGGAGTGTTCAGCCTTGGGCTTTTCTTATGTACGTTGAAAACCTCGAAATGAACAACTCGCTCAAATGGGCTCTTTTCATCAAAGTAAGCGGTCAGATAACAAGCAATACGCTGTGGAAGCGAGGTGAGGTATTTTTTTTGAGAATTTGACGTATTTTTTTTTATTCCTGAGGGCGGTCGTAAATATGCCCATACAAACTCTTATAATTCCGCCATGACCGTTATTGCGTAAGATGATCATCTCACAGCTGAAGCTTGGGCCGCCTGTGATTTCAGTAATCGACACGATAGTTTTTTTGAGATGGAACTGTTGTAAGACAATCAGACCTTCTTGGGAACGGACTGAAGACTTTTCCCTATGATGGACTGATACAGTTAAGCAGGATCATATGGTCGGTTTTGGCCTACGAAACATCTCATCAAAGAAAGCTCTTTCAAGAATGTAATTTGTGGACTACTCTGATGACATAAGTAATGTCAAGTCGGCTTACATAGATGAAAATTGATATCATAAACCAAAACCCCGTATCGTGATACATAATAACATAGAATGATAGCTTAATAACAAGGATATTTGTAAATGCGATGTTAATCTTGTAACTGTCGGTCGTTTTCCTGTAGCCTAGGCAAGTACGCCTCAGAAAAGCCGTCGCGGGACGATCATTTAACAGCCCCCCCCCCCCCCCCCCCTTTAACAAATCCTGGCTACGCTGCAGTCTAAAAGTTTAAAAGCACTCGAAATATACAACACGAGGGAAGTTTTCGTCAGTAAGCACCCTAATAATATAAATGTTTTCAGTTAAGGTTCGTAAATTGTTAGACTCTTGCTTTATTATCAGAGCCATCTTTTAGGAGCCTGCCAGCACCAATCTAAGAAACGTATGGGTTTTAAATCTCCGATCTTTTTCCACTATCTCGCGCATTGAATCTTGTACTTAATCTCGCCCAGGACATCCAACCAGAAGTCGAACCAGATGCAGCCGCATGAAGAGGCGCATGAAGAGGATGAGCAGTAAATGTAATGGAGAGAATGTCCCGGACATCTGGTACCGCAAGTGTTGTAACGCCTTCTGTTGGTATTCTGGCTGACTTAATCGAAGTGAACTGCCATCGTAGGGAGCAAAAACCGCGGTCATAACTCCACAGGGATTTTTTTTAGCATCCTCCAAAAATTAGGAAATATTCCGCATAACCTAGCCTTGTTGGACGGTTGGATGTGTCTTCGGTAGACTGGGTCGATTGAGTTTTATCGCAAGTACTTGATATTTCAACTCTAACGATCGAGTTTTATCATTAGCGATTGAAATTTTAGCACTAACGATTGAGTTTTATCACGAGCGATTGATATTTTAGCACTAACGACTGAGTTTTATCACGAGCGATTGATATTTTAGCACTAACAATTGAGTTTTAGCACAAGCGATTGATATTTTAGCACTAACAATTGGGTTTTATCACGAGCGATTGATATTTTAGCACTAACAATTAACTTTTAGCACTGGCGATTGATATTTTAGCACTAACGATTGGGTTTTATCACGAGCGATTGATATTTTAGCACTAACGATTGAGTTTTATCACAAGCGATTGATATTTTAGCACTAACGATTGAGTTTTATCACAAGCAATTGATATTTTAGCACTAACAATTGAGTTTTAGCACTGGCGATTGATATTTTAGCACTAACGATTGGGTTTTATCACGAGCGATTGATATTTTAGCACTAACGATTGGGTTTTATCACAAGCGATTGATATTTTAGCACTAACGATTGAGTTTTATCACAAGCAATTGATATATGACTGACGAGTTTGAACATTCTTATCTCTATTTTCTAAATGTAAACCACAGTTGAGAGCAGAAATTGGGTGGAGGGGGGGCTTGAGGGGGTTGAGGTTATAGCAGAACGACCTTTTTTTTAACTCAAGCTAGCTTCTCCCGCTTGTTAACCCCCCTGGGCTACTTTGTAAAGACTGACGCCTAAGTATGCCTTTAAAAATTTCACTGCAAAATACAAGCGCACGTTGACACATAACAAATACATCTTCAAGCAGATAATCTGTTTACTGAGAACGAACATGTGACCTCATATGTCCCCGTATATTACTAGCATTGAATTGAAAACCAAGAATTCCAAGAATTAACTTTCTCACTTCAAAGAACGGTAAAATAAACAATAGAGTAAAGTGACAAATGAACACCTTAGTTCAGAGGCACGATGCCTCCCTTAGTTAGAGTAACATTAAGAAAAATTAAACAATCCAGTTTGTCTATTCAGACACTAAACATTTATACTTTCTCTTACTATGTTTGGTCCGTGATGAAAACGAGTCAAGTCACAAGAAGCCAGCAGCTTATTCAAACCAACCCCCTTTTCTTAGTAAGAAAAAAGGGACGGTAAGAGAAAGGAGGAGAAGGGCCAAATAAAAATTAGTTTAAAAAATTGAGTAACAACATAAAGAAGATATGACCGTGTTGGTCTCCAAATTTGCACAATGTTAAGGTCGCAAATGTCTTCTTTCAGTTCTTTTCCTCTCCATCTGCAAACGAAAAGAGATTATTAATGCGAAAGGGTAATTAATGTACAATCTTCGCCAGTCCATTCACAAGACGTCCTTCCACAGACCTTCCGACGAAGATAACATCATTTAAGCAGAAAAAGTGTCCGCTATAGGTGAAATGCACTTAAAAGAAAAAAACAGCAGGAGTTTGTTTGGTTTTCAGGTGACTAAAGGTCATCTATTTTTTTCAATCTCAAGGCTAATAACATCTTATGTTTATGGAAAATAACCACCTATAACGTGCCAAATAATTTAGCATCTCAAACGGAATATTCAACGCACCTTTATCGTCGTCCTCCTCTTCCTCCTCATCGTCGTCCTCTTCGCCGCTTGATTCAAACGTATTATCAGGAATGTCGTATATTCTCACCACACCCTTAAAATTCAAGGAGGAACATAATCAGCAATGCAAAATACAATGTAATGCAAGTGTCGAAGGCCCGCCAAAAGGTTCGAGGTGACGGGGGTATGGAGATATCCACAGTAACGCTCTTGTGATAGACTGACACAAGCAAGGATCAACGCCCAGGCGTTGAGAACTTGGTGATTTCGGGGCTTCGACTACGACTTTGAATACCCCTTTGAAGAAGACTTCCACTTCGATTTCGACTAAATTCCTATTTGGTTCTTATATGCGACCCCCTGATCTGACCAAGCCTGCTAAAGCTAATGGCAACACTTTAACTTGCAACAATTCCCTCAGTTGGCACAATTACCAGGCTGAAAGATTTTTTTAATTTCAATGTTTGTTTCATAGAGGAAGGCCAAACGATCAACTCAGTTGGAAAAGTCTTGTGTTGGTAGCTAAGTCGAAGTGCGAATATAAGATAACTGAAGAAACAGAAAAAAAAAATAAATGGATGAAACAGCACTACAAGACCTGTTTCTGGATTCGATATCAAACCATGTCTGAAAACTGTCATGGATAGCGAAAGGATCCAGAATTGATTTCCCTCGAATTTATGATCACCACAACTGAATAACCGTTTGTGACGTGTACCATCCGAGGAATAACATAAGAACAGGCTATATATGGTAAAGACGTTAACTTCACCAGCGTGGATTCTGCCTGCATTTTAATAATACAGTAGCACTGTACAATGATGGACATGAAGTTACCTTTAGGGGGTCTTTTAGTATGAGGTACTTTCCGTCATTTAATTTCATGCAGGTGTCAATGATACATCTCAGTATTCCCCAGGCATTATCCATGTTCAAGGCTATCTGAGTTGCAAACTCCTTAGGACGGAATTGTTGTGTACCAAGGATCGAATGCTTTGAAGAATCCATGAAATTTACGCGAGACACATACCTGATAGGACAGGAAAGAGAATTTTAAAAAGTACTCGGTTAAATTGTTAAAGCTACCTCGCAAAATTCATAACACTCTGAATAACAGACTAACAATGATCTGGGAGATCATGGGGTGCAGAAAACAGTCTTCAAAAGCACTGCTATTGGTTACAATGAATAACTTTGGAAAAATCTCAGCTGGAGTCATCATGTGACTAAGAGTAAACAGAAGAATTGATTGCCTTAAAAAGAAGATCTTAATTTTTGACACTGAATGATCAGCTACGGCATGCTGTTAACATTAGTTGTGCACAATATGAGGATGAAGACATAGAATTTACTTATTATTAGGATGAACGTTACTCCTGGGCTCAAACAATTTAGAGTGAAACAGTTAGCAAACATTCAGATAACCTAGGACCTTTAACTTGGGCTCAATAACCAGTGGCTGTTCAGGATATGAGAAAAAGCTTCTCCTCTTATGAGGGAGGAGTAAAGAATGAAATTAAGAGGGTCTCCAAAGCCTCTTTTAACCCCCTCACCCCTTGACGAGATTCTTGCAAGTATTTCTCCCCCCCCCTCCCCAAATAAAAGAAACTTGAAAATATAAACTTCCAGGCTGAAATGAACAAACTATTTAGCATAATACATAGTTGAATCAATTTATTTCAGATAAACTAGGACCTTTAACTTGGGCTCAATAACCAGTGGCTGTTCAGGATATGAGAAAAAGCTTCTCCTCTTATGAGGGAGGAGTAAAGAATGAAATTAAGAGGGTCTCCAAAGCCTCTTTTAACCCCCTCACCCCTTGACAAGATTCTTGCAAGTATTTCTCCCCCCCCCCCTCCCCAAATAAAAGAAACTTGAAAATATAAACTTCCAGACTGAAATGAACAAACTATTTAGCATAATACATAGTTGAATCAATTTACCTTACATAAAATGAAAAATGTCTTCATGTACATGTACCAAGATCAGTGGTAAACTCTGTTTCTGTCACTGGCGATTTCATTATTGCTTTCCAGGTGACTTATTGATTTATGGTGGGGTTATCATAATCATAAGGGTTAATGATTCCCTCAATAAAGCAACATTAGGGATTGAAAAAAATAATTAATAAGAAGAATATGCAGGCACCAAGTAACTTAAACCCTGTTTAAGACCTGGTCGAGTCTGATTTCTCAATAAACATTCACTATACAAACAAACAATTATCCTTGTTCCTTACAGTTAAGGCTTTGTCTTACCCTAGTTTGAGATATTCTGATCCAGCTAGTATGGAACTAGCAGTCCACTTTGCCAATTTGCAGCTGTTGTTTCTTAATGCTGTCGCTAGTACAGCACCACGCTGAGAATCCAGCTTCTGACGCCAATCTACACCAATTGCCTGCCAATTTTAAATCATTGCTCAGTCAGTAGTACAATTTGACACTATTCAGAGAAAATATTAACAAAACAACAGAACAACAATAACAGAACAATCAGTGATAAACTTATGAGATTTTCATGATAAAGATGACTTTAAATCACAGCTTGCTAACTTGAACTGAGAAATATATAATACACAGAGTACAATGTAATTCAATAACAATGAAAGAATCTAACCCATGGAACAGTTTTGGTATATCTACAGGAAAACTACTAGTGATTATGTTTATGTCACTAGTACATGTAGAAATCAGTGTTATCACACTGCAATGCAAAGAAAAAGGATATAATTCTAAGTAACCTAACTTTGAGGTTTCTTCTCCATTCTCAGTAAAATTAACTGAAAAATTATCCCATAATGATAATAATCAGTGAATTGATGTTAATGGATAATAAAAGCACATCAACATCAATTAATATTGATAATCAATGATCATCTATTTATATATTTATTGTGAGTAATTATGGTTATCCATTGCCAAACATTGATGAAATATTGGTGTCAGTGGCCTAAGTGGTCTTTGAGGAGTTGCATGATAAGTTTTCTGTTATGTTTGCTTTCCATACTCAGTGCCTCAGAGATTTTTTCTTAAGTTGAAAAAGATGAGTATTAGGAGGTGAGGTAACCTGCCTAGCCGTGGTCAAAAGACAAAATGCATTTACATGCAATCATACAACCCTGGGGTGTTGAGGTTGTTGTTGCGTTTGCAATTAAGGAATTTGCGGAAAGGCATCCCAAGTTCACATCTCGAAAAAGATGAAAGATTAATTCTTAGACACATATGTATTTATTCATGAAAGCATCATGCATTGTTAAGCGGTGTTTGGTTTCATGAGGAACCATTGACTTAATACATTATATGGAATAGTTTGGGAAACCAAATATGGTCGATTTACAATGCTAAATATTCCAAAATGTGAACACTTTATACTCCTTGTGTGTCCGTTGTGGTTTCTGGTGATTTCTGCTATGAGATGGCTAGGAAATGTACTAAGTTTTAAAACAAACATGTTTCACTTTTGAGCTTTTTGCCATGAACATAACCCCAGCTAGGCGGTTACCCCACCTTTACATGTTTACGTGGCAAATTGTCATCCCAGCTAACAGTGTTACCCTACTTGGCAGACCGGGCAACCTGCCTAGGCAGGTCACCCCAACTATCATGTAAACATGATCAATATAAAATAAGAAATTATACGGACAGGCAGGTTACTCCACCTAGGTGGGTTACCTTACCTAACTGGGGTCCCCCACCTCCATGTGAACAAACGCTTAGTCAATGTTTTGAACAAAATAAAGTCTTTACCAGATAATCAGCCAATTAAAGGTCTGTTTTTGATTGCTCATTGATTAAAGTTCCCAAACTACTCTTACATCATTAAATGCTACCTTATCAACAATGATTACATCTCCTTATGAATTCTTCACTTAATTAAGTGAATTGTGCTACAGGGTAGGTACAGGTGCAGTTATTAACCACTAACCCTTGGATCCCATTCATTCAATGTCTTGATATTGATGTACGCTTCTTCTCCATTTGGTCCCAGCATTACAGCATCATGTTCACATCTCACAATCAGCTCAATTCCATCGCCCAGGTTCCATTTGCGATACCTGAGTGACCAGAACATAATTTATCCTTACAATGAGAATACAATATCAAGCAGAGAAGTGGTGGAAATAAAGAAAAATACCAATAAGTCAGGGGATGATGGTGACTCCAATACCAGATTCTCAAAAATAACATGAAAAGAATGTATGACAGACAGTAAGGAAACTACTGGTGAAAGGGTTGATTTCAAGAAGCAAAATCAAATAAATGTTCAATGAAATTATCACTTAGGGCTTTTTAAAACAGAACATAAGTAGGTCAAACAAATCCATGAAATTTGTTTCCCTGCATGACACTTCAGAGCCAAAAGCACTTGTTACAGTGTACACATCACCAAGAGACACAATGGAAACCCTTAAGAATGGGTAGAATATCCTCAGAGAGAGAATGAAAAAGAAACAATATAATCAACTGACACAAGACACTAGGAGATTGGCAAAGGGGTTTATACTTGTCATGTCATTAAGGCCAAAACTAAAGCATGAATTTTACAGAAAGGCCAGCCTGATTCATAAATTCATGAACCAGTGTAAGGCAATATTTGCCTCCCTGAATATATGTGACTCATGAATTTTTCTTTCATTACATGAAACTTCAAGATTTCCCTGAAACCTTGTACACAAGAAAAGACATTTAAAGTTTTCCCTTTTATATACATGTATGTGACATGTGAATTTCTCTAACATTTGTGCATGAAACAGGATTAGGACTCCCCCCTTCGCTAGGTCTTGAAAGAGAAAACTTTCAGCACTTCAAACATCCCAGCTGCCCTGCTATGTGTCACATTTGCCTGGCTTAAAAAACAGCAAAGTGATCTAGTTGGTGTATCACTGTTTACATTGCAATATGAACATGTCTAATTTATTCAAATTCAAATTTTGTTGAGACAAATCAAAAGATTTGACTTTTAGGCAATGTTAATGGTACAATGGTAGGCATTAGTAAAGATAATTTTAGCTTGTCTTTATCATAATGGCCTGTCTCAAGGTCTATATGTCTGTATTTTATCAAATATAATGATCAAATGTCTCTGAATTATACATCACACCCAGCTGGTAACTGTCCCAGGTATGTGAAAAGATCCAGACTTCGTTATTCCTCAGATATGTAATCACTGCAAGTATTGATAACCTTGCAGTGAGTAGCTGTATGAGGATAGAGAGATGTGCAAGTACTGTACTCCATAAGAAGAAAGAAAAACCAATCCAGTTTACATGTGCATATTAATTTAAAATGGCTAAACTCTATCCTTGATCTGTCTGTCAAATTAACTACACCTACCTGTATGCTACAGACGCTACTTGTGCCTCATCCTCATCAGTAACAAATGGGTTAGAGTTGGGAAATACTTTTTTGTCTTGCCCTTTCTTCAGACACTGCTGTGAGAAGTTTTGATTGATGAATGTTGCTTCAAGGCCAAGATTTGTGGGAGAATTAATTCCATTTCCTTCATCAAAAGCCACATCATGTGCAGTCTCACTCACTGTTAGTAAATCTAAAAATACAGAGAAGTCAATGGTACACAATCCATTTGGCTGAGGGGACCTGCAAATGCTAACAAACCCCAAAGACTTAAAACCTATGGTGGAGAAGATGTGGATAATGTACATGAAACAGGTACTTAAACAATACTTTCAAAGACCATAGCCAAGTGCAGACTGTAAGTTTATTACTACATTATATGCTGTCATGTGAAGAAAAAAGACAACAACAACAAGAAAAAAGGGCATAAAGAGAATATAGGGCACATGGTGGTTCCTTTTATTGACAGTCTGTAGAATGGGGTTGTTAAGAAAATGTGTCAATCAAGAAGCTGTGATCTTGATTTAAGTGTGTTATGGATAGCAGGGAGAGTCCAACAATTAGATTATTTTCTATCATACAGAGACACAGCACATCTGGTAACACTCTTCACACAGTCCCAAGAATTTAATCATCATTGTTGTGAAATATTCTAGTCTTAAGTTTATCAAACCAAGAGGTTGTACATTCCAAGTAAATTTATGTGATTGTATTTTGCAGCACTCTTTGTATCTCATTTGTGCTATATCATTCATGGTAACATATAAAAACAACTTTCTACAACTTGGAACCTACCAAATTCAGAATCATCTCTCTTGTCGAAAAACAACTTTGATCCAACTCGCTATAAAAAATTGACAACTATCAGGAAACTGACAAAAAACTATGCAGTTACGATCAAAATAATTATTGATGTGAATTGCATTACACCTCTTTCTGTTATTCTCTCAAGGCTGTGCATTGTACCCCTGGTGGTCTGTGACCATTGAAATGAATAAACTTATGTAAAACAACAGAATTATTTCATTTAAGTTTCACCTAAAAAGTATAATTGAGTATGAGTTGAGTACTTTTACAGGTAACTGTTTAAACTGAGTAAAACTGACAAGGTATATTCTACACTGCACAATGATTCATGTTACACATCAACCAAATGTAAGACCATGCAGTGGTTATGCATTTGGCTGGGGATACCATAAAAATTGAATAGGATTTATTGGAAGTTATTTAAATGTTTTCTTGTTACTCAAATGAACTCTTTCATGATAATTATAGGGCTATTTGTTTTTTTGTAAAAGCTGAGCATGTCTCCTTGGGAGAGCATTTCATTGTGATAATTGGTACCTAAAGTATAATTTTATATAGTTTAAATTCATTCATTTACAATACCTGCACTACAACATCCCAGGAGTAAACAGATCGTGTTGCAGTCATGAGTGTAGCTATTATTGCATCAGTAGCAAAAACATTTCCCTTGGAAAGCAACTGAAAAGAAAATTATACAATTACAGCTTTTGCTAAAATAGTAACAACCATACAACACTATGCATTCATGCCAAACTTGCAATGAACAGACATATCTCAATTATACAGATTGTACATTACACCAAGCTGATAAAGTTCACATTGTCTTGAAAACCAATGGTCATTGGGTTTAAACATACCTTCCTGATGATAGGGTCATCTGTAGTTGTAACTTTGTGGAAGATTCTATTCACTCCAGCTAAAGGCACCTCATTCTTTGTTGTCACACGATCATAACTTTTTTCATAAAACTCTAAACTACCACACTCATACCTGAGGATGGAATGGAGGGATTTAATGACAACTTTAGTGTTAATCCTACTTTAAACCCTTCATATAGTCCTTTCATAATCATGTAAATGACAATAGAAAGTCTTTAATACTCACAAATCTTCAGGTTCCTCTACGTTTGGCAGGTTCAGCTTGGAAAGTCGCGGAAAATCCATTTCACCATCCTCCAAAACTTTCCATTCCTCACGAACTGCTACAGAAGGTGCTCTTTTGTGAATATTCTAGAATAAGCAATGAGACATTGTGTTCCACTTAATCTATAGGTTGGTTTCAAATGTTTCTAAGGAATCAGATGGTAGAGTAAATACAGTCACTGTCCTGTACAGTACTTCTTTACATCATAGGAACCTTAAGATTGTGATGGGAAAACCCAAAGCTAAAAGGAGAGGATATTTCAGAGAAGACACTCGTCTACATAAATTTGATATATATTTGACATGTAACATTACTCCTTAAATAAGTTTGATGTAATAGAGTCAAAATAAGTGACTGCAGCCTTTCTTTACTCTTCCTTTTACTTTGTTTCTCAGAAAGAGAGATCATGCACAAGGCTCTCATTTTCTTATATAAATAAACCCAGGACGATGAATACTTACAGCTGGTTTTCTATCATGCCATTGTCCACGTCCATAGTTCCGTTGCATCTTCCGTGAGAATTTCTGCCGATTCTGGTTCTTTGACAGACTTTGCATTCCCCCTGCTGGATATCGCTGGTTTCGCTGGTCCCTCCTCATGTTTCTCTACAATTATTCCAAAAAAAACACTCAATAATTGACTTGTTTGTAAAGCATTATAAAAGGTACCTCCCATGAATATTAAGCTTCTGGATTTTACCCTATAATATTTATGGATGGTAAGCTTCCACTAACTTTTCAATTTATTTCACATCAAGTCTATAAACTGTTCAAGAAAGATAAAACAGTCTTTCTCTCCTAACTCACAGGTGAATATTTTCATCCCTTACCATTCTGGAAAGGATACAATGTTTAAATTTACTTACCTGTCCAAACCTGTTCCTATTTCTCTGGTAAAGGGGACGCTGTGGACGTGAGGTGTCCACTAACTGGAAAGATGATTCATCCTCCTCGTGGTAATAAGAGAACATTTGATTTCCTGCTCCAAACTGAGACTGGTATTTATCTAAATGGACAAAACTCCTATTACTGAATATGTCAAGCATCTTTGAACCCAAAGTAGGTTTGTTATTCAGCTATAAAGAGTTTCACTGAGAATTTTTCATCCACAAAATATTTTAGTGAAAAGTTTTACCCTTGAGACATGTTTCTTGAATTTCCCAAGCTTGACATTGATTTCTTTAGAGCACTGGGACAGATGGGTGCAGAGGTGTAACAAGAATGAAAAGCTGCACATAAACAAAATACAAGTATTATGCAAAGTGGAATACTCACTCATGTATCTCCGATCTTGATAGGTGCCACCAGTCCAGTCAGATATCTTAAATTTAAAACACAACTTAATATAAGAGGAGACTTTGTTCACATTCTTTGAGTAAAAGATACCCCTTCCCCTACAAACATTTCTTCTTTCCTTTCCCCTCTCACTGACTCTCATACCATGTCCCTAACCTAAACACCCTGTTGACAATCACTTATATGTACATGGCTATTTATACTACTGTTAAATTGCCCTCTGTTTCTAAAAGTAAATTTTTGATAATTGATGCTGACTTCACTGATAGTTTCAAGTCAACACTCTATTTCTATTTTCTTAAAAACAAATGTACATTTTTTAAATCCAAGTACAGTCACACTCTTATCCCACCAGAGCAATTCGATATACACACGTATCTACCTACTTATCCTACATCACTGCTGAATCAGGATTCTTCAACCTACAATTATCATCCTCAGTTTAAGATATCGTATCCCATACTTAAGAAATATGATCACAGTGGTTGAATTTAGAAAAAGAACTGACATCTCCTGAAAAGAAGATCACACAATTCAGGAAAAAAGTCTCCAAGTAAGAAAGAATGGTTTTAACAACAAGAAATCGAGGCAATTTTCATCATTTGAAGTGTTTCTTAACTTGAAAAGTTTCCCTTATTTTTAGAACGTTTCCTTGAATAAAAACATGAAAACAAGAGACTGGAGCCCTTAATACCGGAATCAAATTGATTCGTTGAATAAAGAAATTTGTTTTAGAGCGTATTAAATAAGGACTGAAATCAGAAAGCGACGTGGCATTTCCGAGCGAGTTCAACCCAAAAAGTGTTCATTTTACCTTGCCGAGACGATCTCCTTTAGAAAATGGCTGATATGGTATGTCTTTGAAAGCAGTCGGAATGGCACAAGGGCCCCAACCATCGGGATTATCTTCTATAACCGGCGGAATAAAAGATGCCTTACCCGCCATAATGGATTTTTAGGTATCACGTGGAAATTATTTTCTCTGACGTTAACACTACCATAAAAGCGCTGCCTAAAGAAACTGCTGTCTCAAGGAACTGCTGTCTCAAAGTATTGGGTAACTTCATTGCACGTATTCGTCTCCGCACCCACTGGGTATAACAATGCTTAAATGCAACCTAATATTTCTAATCAAGTTCCTTTTTCACCACGTCAAGTTTTCCAACAGATTCCCTCAATTTCCTGTCATGTTTTTTTTCCGGCAATAACTCTTTGAGAACAATTATTCCGACACAGCTATTTCCGGCACAACTTTTTGCAGTACGACTTTTACGACGCGACTTTTCCTGATAAGACTTTTACGGCATGATGTTTCCAACACTACATTTCTGGCACAACTTCATGTGGAGCGACTTTTTCTCCTTTTTTTTCCCTTTTTTCAATTTCCTTGGCAGCGCGGGGATCTACGCAGTAGGTCACCGCTAATCAATCGCAGCTTCAGTTTATCAGGATTCAGAGTTGAAGCTATTCTCCTTTGGACCCTTAAAATGAAGTGTACCTCAACGATAAATATGGGATTTCTCACCTTGTCTAATGAACCTACATTCACGGACTCCGCCATTTTGTTGTGATTAATACCTGAATAAAGAACATCCACAGCTCTATAGTGTCAGTTCTTGTTTACTTTTTTTCAAATTTTGTTGTTGTTTTTGTCTTACCTATACAGTACGTACAAGTGAAGACAATAACACCACTGAAATACCTATATCGAGGATTGTAAAACTAGTCTAACTTGCAGTACTAGGATTAACTTTCTTACCTACACACACTGGTATGTGTACATGTACGCATGTACACATACCACATCTAACTCAAACAATTTTTCTTCCTCTCTTACATATCAAAATAATTACTAATATTACAATCAGTTCGACATTTATAATACTTACGAAATCTTCGATACTAACATCGCTCACAAAAAATAATGAATTGATAAAACAGAAAAGATATGGAAAGGTAGATCTTGCTGTGACCTAACGCTCCGTACATACATTTATCTAAGTAAACAATACTTACGATACCAACCTTTGCAAACCATGACGTTTTTCGAAGAAAATTTTAAATTGAGTTTGCCCAATTTCTCTCAGTGTTTCGATTTTTTTCTCAAGTTACTTAAGAAGTCAGTATCACTCACGCAGAAAAAGTAATATTTTGCCATGTGATTCGCACGTGATCAATAAAGTTAACTATCTGTAAGTAACTTTTGGGTTATCAGCCATGGCTAGTGTTATGAATTTTGAAAAACGTTTTGGCATCCTAAAATATGTTTTTGTGTGTTAAAGCGCAACTGATACAGTGGCCGTAACCTTAGACCCCCCTCATATTCTTACCTCGTCGAAGTGACTGCATAGTCATCTTTAGGATGACTAATGATGACTATGATGACTATGATTTAGGATGACTTTACTTAAGATACAATCTTTTGCAAACGGTTATAAAGGCTATTAGCAATTTCCTACTAGTACTACATGCGTAGTTAAACATCTGCTCCAAAGTCAATTTTTTAAAAATTGGGACGGCAAAATTACTCAACTCCTCACACCAATCCCTCACACTGGCCTCAATTTACGGTCTCATTTAATAAAAGAACCGCCAGACTCTCCGATTTTTGTATGCACCAGCCTCCTGTTGACAATAGCGGACCAAATTGAGATCTGCGTTTATTTCGAAAATTAAATAGAGACCCTTAATGAGAGGCTGGGGTTCTGGATACTCTAACTTTACTCTCTGGATAAGCCTTCGGTGAGGTCAAAGTTTCGGATCGTAACTACGTGCAAGTTGATTGGCAAACTATAGGAAAGTAAAGTAAGAAGATGTGAAATTCATCAATTTCTTGGATAGCAAGAACCTCTCTAGAAGAATATTGATCGAGAGGGGTCCATGGTTTAACCTTTTCTTGAATCGCTTTTAGGTAATAGTTCAAACGACAATTTTCTCTTTCCATCTCCCCTTGGTACGTTTTTTGTATTTAAAAGCCTTGTGCTTGATTTGATTTGCCCAATCATGTCCACAGACCTTGCTGTTGAATCTAAATTCGAAGTGAACATCCACTAGAATTTGACGTTCAAGTCATACTGTGTTCTTTTTAATTTATTAATTTATTTTAGCTTAGCTTGTCGCCCATTTCTGTTTGAAGTTCATGAGTTCCATAAGGTTCCTTTTGCAGCCAATTGTTGTATTTGATGAACTCAGAAACTTTGTTAACAATTATTTACTTAAGTGGAGGTGAATAGAAGTGGATATTTACCGAGCCGCGAAGCAGCGAGATAAATATCCACCACTTTCACCGACACTTACTACAAATGTCAGTACCCTTAAGTTATTTGAGCTAATTTGGGACACCATGAAATAAAAAGATACAAATGCACAATACTATATAGGCCTGACACTAAAAATATGAAATAAATATAGACATGTATGTTTATAAAATTAAATTAGATTAAGTAAATAAACAAATAAAAGTTTATAGGGTGCACTCCGGCCCATATGACAGAATATTTACCATAGGTTATCGAGTTATATCTTGGAATCACGATGTCAGAGTTACGTACATTGTAATTAGTGTCCAGTCTTTAAAATAACTCAGATATATGCTCTGAATACATTCCATCGTTCAACTTAAACATCAAAATTGCTCAATCTTGCTGTCTTCTGGCCCCAATCGTTTAAAGGGCGGATGTGTTAACCAAATTTATTGTGCTATCCAAAGTTTAGAGATTTATCCAGTGGATAGTGCTATCCACCCTAAGAACAACCGGAGTTTGGTGTATAAACTAGGTAAGTTGGTCTTCTTTAACAAGTGCTCATAACTTGATGCACTGTATTTAAATACAGTCATTAGACCCTTCTCTTGCAGTCTATTTAGTTTGCATTTGTGGGGTGCTCTTATCACAGAAGGCATCACAGATCAGAAGGGATCACAGATTCGAAGAGACGAAACTTGAAATTCTTAGGAACAAGTTTCCGCATCCTCGTCAGAATACCAATTTTAGAATTAGCTTTGGAGCACACTAACGTGATATGTTCATCAACATTGAGTTTCTTAACTATAACGACTCCTTATAAACTTAGAGAGTGTGTGTATTCATTCTCCTCATCGTCAACAGTAACTTGTATTTCCGATGAGTCTTTCGCTCTGGAATCTAAGAACAATGCTTGAAACATCTTTATTTCCTGATAGGAAATTTCTTTTATACCAGTTAGCCACTAACGCCGCCTCGTTAATTAAGGTTGACCTAAATCGCTGAGCGAGTGACTATATGCACACAGTTGATGATCATCAGCCTTCAAAAATAGGTCACGTTTACTTATGCTTTAGTACAGGTTATTTTGAAATACGTTCCATAGCAGGGGTCCAAAGCACGAGCCCTGGGGAGATCCTTTCCTTTGATCATGTTAAGCACCAGTAGAAGAAGGAAGTTTAACTTGCCACCACAACAAACTCGCCATCACTGAGAGTCAAATCGCCCCCACTCGTTGACGATAATCGTAAAAGGTTATTCCCTAGATTTCTCAAACAGTTTAAAACTTTTTGAGCACACCCTTAGTGGTATTTCCCGAAATGCCGTGCAAAGTTTTAGCTGTTGAATTTCCCTAAGTCAGTGGCGACAATTGATGAACTGACAAGTGCCCAAATTTCCCAAAATGCGCTTCGAATTCACTTGAAAACTCTTTCTCTAGGTTTAGTTATTCGACCGTTGTATGAAGACTGTGTACCGCAGAGCCCAGGAATCGAGAATGAAAAATTAAATTTCGCTCTGCAGCGAAATTTATCAAATAATTTAACGGATGCGGTTATCGGAGGGAACATGACTGACATACTTGACATACTACTTGTTGTTTTAATAAATTCAAAGTTTGATCCGTTTGCCCTTCAGAGAGGGACGCCAAGTCGCTTTCTGGAAAAAAAATATGAATAAACCTCAAGATCTAGGCTTTCATATGATATAAGTTTCATCAGATTTGATTAAGAGTTGTGTCCATCAGAACGAAACTTATGTTAAAGGTCAAGTCGACTTTCTTTGTACTTAAAACAAAGAATACGGACTAACTCCTTTTCTGTAAACTTCGCTGTATTTGTACGCACTTTTAATGCATATGTCGTTATGTAGCACCACATCTTATACTTCATTTGATGTAAAACTCATACGACTTCATAAACAGCAGCGAAAATCACTGGGCGAAACTCACTCTGGTTTCGCTGTATGCAAACTGATTATACTCTTCGTGATATCAACATGTTTTATGTCATTTAATGGTTAAGGTTCCACGATTGAAATGGTTCACATAACTTCTGAGTCCCTTTTTCTTTTCGCAATATGCTACTACATCTTAGCTTTCGTTTAACAGGCTACACATACAGTGGCGGATCCAGGGGGAGGGTCCGGGGGATCCGGACCCCCATATCAGACCTAACGCTTACAACTTTGAGACTGAAATTCTTACATCGACAGGATCGTATATCACTTTTTAACTGGACAATTTTTACAATGAAGCGCGCGTGGCATGTTTCCACTAAACTAAATTCCAGGGATATTAAAAAATGTAATTGTTTTTGGGTACCCTCTTATGATCTGTTCGCCTCTGCTCGCAAAGCAGTATTTCCCGCGCCAACGGCGACCGGCGTTCACAGATTGAGAAACACGTGGTCGTCTCTGCTTTCTCAGCTGGTCGAAAATTATGGCGACAACTCGGCTGATTACCACGTTCTTTCAACCAGTCAAATCCAGTGAAATTGAAAATGAAACAGTTAACGGTGAAGAAGCTGAAACTGAAGCAATGGAATTTGAAAACGGTAAGTTGTTTTATGCTTTTATTCCATTTCCTGAGAAATATTGGTGACTATGGTTTAGAAGTAAACATTTGTACGTTTGTCGTTTTAGTTGAGCTTTCTGATTGTTAGAAGAATTACTCCCTAACACTCGGTTCAATTTTCTTTACTTCCTGGTTGAGC